TATTTCTAATTTCTCATTTTTAAGTAGAATATTTTTTTCTGAGAATTTCGAAGGATTGCTAAATTATAAGTTAAAATGATTACATTTACCTAGTAAATCAACATTTTGCGGAATACCTATATCTTTGCCACACCATTCCACTAGTGTAAACTTTATAAGTATTTTATAGRTTATAATTATTATAATTAACAAGGTACTCGTTTGAAATTTAATWTTTTACAACGAAATTCTCAGAAAAATATTCCGCTCCGATAAAAAAATAAATGTTTTACAACAATATTAATGAACTTAAAGATTTTAACGATGAAAATGTAACTTTTTTCAAAAATTATTATAAATATTGTATTATGTAATACATTATACCTACTATATTACTATTTAAATATAAGTATGTATACTTTTCAAGTTCGCGAGTGTTTACTTTAAAATAAGCACACTGTATAATATAATATTATACACGTGTGTATTTTAAATTATATATATACGCGACCCATAGGGATATATATATAATATCGCTGCACTTACCAATATACAGGGTGCTCACTGTTCGACCCGTCACCGGTCATCCATGGCAATAATTTGCAGAGATTAGTTTGATAATGTTCTACATAAATATTATGTGTTTTGCATCCACATCGTATGGTGATCGTAGTGGTTGTATATTTTACAGACGTAGATACTACGATTCTCAATGAAATGGATACACGGTGTACTTGAGTAGGTACTGGAGTATTGAAACATGCTCGGAGAGTCAGAAATTGTGTGAAATGGGAAAAAATTATTTAACTTTTGATCTAACGTGATGAGTATAATAGTWATCGCAGAACATATATATTTACGTACCTATACATAAGTTAACCTGATACGATTGATTGTTGTARTAGTTTTGGTTTGACGATATTTTTTTCTGGTTCGKRTGAATACTAAAGGTGTATAATGAAGGGTATATGGGTGATTGATGTCTTTTTCAATTCCAACATCAAAAAGCTGACGAATAGCGTTCCCTCGAATCGAGTCAAACCACACGCAGACAAAACGATCACCCTGTAGGCGTTTTACTCTGCCGCCAGCGTTAAAGTGTGAGTGTTTGAGTGGATCGCGCGCGCCCGCAGTGGCGTCGGTGCGCGCGCGATTTGAACGCGATCGCCCGGCGGTGAGTGGTCGCGCGGGGGGAAGCAGCGCGCTATAAGAGGGAAAAATAAGAAATTAAAAAGAAGCGACACGCGCTCCGTATCATTTTCCAATTGGCGCTCGTTCACCGCGGCCGTGCAGTCGATCCGACAACAGTTGCAGCAGCAGCAGCAGCAGCAGCAGCAGCCGCCGCCGCCGCCGCCGCCGCAGCAGCCGCATTCGAATTAATCGTAATAACATTAATTATTCTCATATTCATTATTATTATTAGTAGTATTTATTATTATTATTACCGCCGTTTTTCCCGTCGTTTCATACTTTTKCTGTTGGCCGCCGCGAAATCGAAAATATTTTAATATAGCCTTTTACAACGCACTCGCCTAAAAAGTATAATGTAAATAATATCGGTTTTTTTTTTTTTTTATTACGCTTAATAATTGATTAATATTAGGTATTCATAGTCGCGTAGTTTTTTAATTTAAGCGTTATACATATAGGTAATATATTTTATTATTTGTGATTATAATTTATATATAATTTTTAGTGACATATTTGGCATTATTAAAAATTTTAATTTAAAAATATGACATTACGGTAAATCATTCATAATTAAATTGCCATCATATTATATTTTCAGTGTGTACCATAGGTGCCTATAGCACACACGTCGTYGAGTCGTTTGGTATCGCCAGAATACCATATAATAATTATTTCCTTACATATTAATTTTAAGGTAAAAAAAWAAACATTCATCTTTTCAAATTTATACTATTATAGTTATAAATTATATTATAATTATTATAGTTGTCTACTTGGTACCACACGCGCCGCTACCAATACCTACGCATATATCGTAATAATATACACGTATATTATTTGTTATTTTTGTACGTTGTACCTACCTTATATATCGTATACATATTATAAATTTTTACACGGACGCAATTAATAATTATTATACAAATATATCATGATATAGTCATATACATTAAATAGCACGTAACGCGCACGGTGCACAGCGGATGGATTATTATGATTTGCCGCCGATCTTGGCCCATACCTATTTAATACTGTTGAATTAATTTTATATTTTAATACCCGTCCTACCTGCCTGTACATGATATGTTTGTATAATAAACACAAATAGTATTTAATTTTATTATTATCATTTGACATTTGCGAGTGCGGCGCCAAAAGGTTTTTATTTTTTTATTTATTTTTTCGGCCTTCCGCTCGTTCGCGCGTGCAGTCTACGGCCGCCACTATTACCACACGCCGTCGCCGCCACAACCACTTCTACGTCGCGGCTGGTACAACTGCCGTTGCCACAATTGTCGCTGACTACTGATACGGTCGCCGCTGATAACTCGTGGTTCTCACATGACGGCGATGATAGTATGATACAATAAACAGTCGTCGACCGGTTCGGCTCCGTTTAAGTTTTTGTTTTTTTTTTTTTTTTTTTAAATTTAAATTTTTTTCGTTTTTCGCGCTCCTCCTTTTCTTAATCCCCCCTCCCCCGTTACCACCGAGCTCAAGTCTATTATTTTCCTGCCTGCTCACCGACGCCGACAGCTTGTAGTTAGAAATATATAGGTTACTTTTTACATAAAAAATAAACGTATTTTTCRATATGCAACCTCCGTCCACGTTCACGTCGTCCGCTCAATTTAGTTCCTACAGCAATGTTTTCCGTTTATTGTAGTCGGCATCCGAACGTTTCTCATTAGAGTCGAAAAGCCTTCGACTTTACGCGCCTCCACTCGGCCGTGTTGAAACATAGCACTCGCATCACCACGAATCATCCGTCCGCCATCATGTCGTCGCCAACCAACTCCGTCCCATATGGCGTACAAATTCTGCAAAAGATTTCTAACAAGTGTCCCCGGCTCACCAGAATCGTCGACCGTGAAAATTTGTGAGTATACCTGAAGTATCTTAATACAGACATCCCCAATAGCTGTTAGGGCCAAGTTGGTGTTTTGGACTATACCTATTCTACCAGCAAGAATATTCAGGCCTAAAATTATTAACCAATACATTTAAAAAACTAGAAACCCTATTAATTGTTCAAGTCGACACACCTCATACTATGCTCTTAAGTTAAATGTTACAAGACTGTTGTTTCAGTGAACCAATGGTTTTTGGAAACTTTTTTTAAGATCACTATTAGAAAATTTGTATGTTTATGGTTAGGTATATGATTGGCACTTTAAAACGCTCKCTTTTAAAATAATTATTATTTGTGTGTACCTATTTCATGGGCATATAATTTCCACTACAAAAATTATTACTTATTTAGGTATTTATATTTCTTAGGTTTGGTATAGGTAGGTTGCATTTAAATGCATTTAGATTATAGGATTAATTTTATATTTGAGTAGTTAGGGTTTCAAATTTGAGCAATTTATAGTTAGGTTACTGTCATATAGGTAATATGCTGTACGTTAAAAATAAAATAAAACTATTTCAACAATTAAAACCTGGCTTTAGTAAAAATAGTTGTGCCTCGTTGAATTGTGTATTTTTATGATTGATATTTTATTCAAAAGAAGAAAATTTTTGTAGGTGAAATAATATAGGTATATATGTATCAAAATCTGACTATGTCAAATGTAAATATTTATTACTGTTTCTTCTACTAGATATGTTTTAAATGTATTAAAAAACAAATAATGTGTCATCTATAGTTAAGCCCTTACTTAAGTAAGTACCTATCGAGGTACCTATATATTAGAATTGATTAAAAATAATGATAGAATATATAGGTACCTAGGTATTAGTACTTTATTTTTATTTAGAATAAAGTTTAGGCATTAAGAGTTACCTCTATTATTTTCTGATAATTTACAAATTTAAATACTACGAAATTGTGTGGGTTAGCTTTTTAAAATTATATTAAAGTATCTATATTATTTTGTTATACCTAGCTAGATAAATGTTTATTAAGAAAAAATGAGCAAATTATTATTTACTAGTATAAACAGTTGATAAGTACCTATTATATCTAACCTTGTAGATCATTAATTTTACTGGAATGAYCTGACATTATTTAACTTAATAAACATTTTAATTTTACATATCTTGCTTTAATCACTATTACGAGATCAATTTAGTACATTTTATCTAATGAACTTATTGAATATGTTTTTGTGATTTATAACACAGTTATATTATTTTTCTAATTGRGAAACTGTTAACTATTAGTTCGGTAAATTAAACCTTATATACCTTTTTGTATATCTAATACAATTCATGTTTTGTTGCAATAATCCATTGAAGAAATTATCAGTAAATTAATGMWTAGTATATAGGTGGGTCCTAAGTCTCTATTAGCTTAAAAACTAGTACTGTAATAAATATACATAAAAGTTTTGATATCTTCATCACAGATACTTTATCGAGCTTTACTTTTAAATGTAAATATGGGTCATAAGTTTGGAGTAAGTCAAAGGACAAAGATAAAGATTATGACCTCTACAAGTATCACAATGACAGTATAAATTCAATAACATAATTTTTCAACATAAAATATAAATTTCTGGTTTGTTTTTTATCATATTAATTATTATYAGTATTAAAAACTTTAGTTTTGATTACATAAATATTCAGTCACATAATATGTCTTGTGTTTATCATATAATATTTGGCAGATGATACTTAAATAATCGCATTCTTGTTTAGTATTTGTGTTATTCAAAAGTTACATTTTTCAAATACTTAGATACATACATTCATATCATTAAATCTATAAGATTTCAATGAAAATGTATTCCCAACTTTTAATTTTTATTATGTTAATTTATTTTGACATTTGTATTACATATTAATTAAACTATTGACTTAATTAATTTATAAACTATTTCAATTGAATATCAATTATTTTGATAGGATATTGAGTAATATTTGTACAATAGAAAAACATGAATATTGTTTGTGTTAATTAGTTAGTTTGTTTGGATCAAATTCTATAGATTTAATATTTTAGTTTACTTAATAAAACTTGTATGAATATTATATAGAAAATAAAAATAATATCTATTACTATATTATATTAAAATACAAAATGTAGGTATTAAGTAAAATTCTAAAAAAAAAAAATATATAAACCAGTGTATATTATTGTGATAATATTTATTTAAGATTGATCTGTTTTTGATTTAGATGAAGTAAAAAGTATTTTTTAATTTTTTAATACTTGAATACTTTTTAACAGTGGCGTAACTAACAGCAAATATTTGGGGTAACAAACACTTTTAAATACTTCACCTTCTCCAATAAGCATAATGAGTGATGAGTACCACTTATAMGCATAATTTCCTYCTAAATTATTTTAAAATAATCATTATACTTATATATTATTATATTATACTTATC